TTTCTCTCTCTCTCTCTCTCTCTCTCTCTCTCTCTCTCTCTCTCTCTCTCTCTTCCTTTCTCTCTCTCTCTCTCTGTTCCTCTCTGGTCAAATTGGAATGAATGAATAAATAAATAAAGTTAAATAAAAAATAAGTCTTAAAAAAAGTAATAAAGATGGGAACCAGCAGTTGACATAATGGCTATGTCGCTGGACTCCCATGTAGTCGATTGAGGTTTGAGTCCTGGACCCGGTGGCTTAAACTCACTCCCAGTGTGAGTGCGTCCGTGCCCAAGCTCCCGAGAGGAGAATGAAGGAGAAGGGATTGCGGCGTGACCATCCCCCCTGGGGGTGATTTCTTGCTTTCTGTCTCTCTGTCTCTCTCTGTCTTTCTGGCAAGCACATGAGCCCTATAACAAAAATATCTCTCAAAAAAAAAATGATGAGCAAAATCAAATAATTCTAAAGTGAAAGATTGATCTAAACTATTGGTTTTCAAACTCTAGCATGCATCAAAATCAACTGTACAGTTTGTTAAAAAATTTGAGTTCCTAGGGCTTAACCATAGAAATTCAGATAAATGAGACTGGAATACAGTCCAAGTATCTTGATGACTTTTCTACGTTTCTGAAACTAGAGACTATCCTTTGACAAATGCTAGGCGGTATCTTGTTTGGAATCCTTTCAAAATGAGAAACTTTTCCTTTAGTAGTGAAGCAGCCCACGTGGGAACAGCTCTCGGCTCTGCTTTCAACTCCTCCACTGTCTTCAGCCAGGTGTGCGGTTCCCTGCCATGGGCTGCAGCTCGAACACAGGGCAGCTTGAACACGTGGCTGATCCTGAGCTCTGGAAAGGATCTTTCCAGCAATAGAGAACACACCATGAAAATAGCTCTAAGCTATTAGCACCTCATTGTCGAATCTCTTAATCTGTCATCACTTCCCTTTTCTCTTGGATAGGTCATTGCTCAGGTGTGAACCTGATTATTTTTGAAATGGTTGAAATAAAGGACACGTACATCGCCACTGCCTCTTTGACAGCATGGTTTTTCTTTCAAATCCTGTGCTTGAAGGGCAAGGTGAAGTTTAAGTGAACACAAAACTGGGAATATGAGAGGTCTTGGAATCGTTCATGGAAAGTAATAGAGAAAGAAAGAAAAGGTAGTTGAATCACTGCCGCCGTCAATAGCATTTCCCTTACAGCAGTTTTTGTGTGTATCTTCACTAAGTCATTACTTAAATTTTTGCTGTCTCAGATAAGCAAATGTGTATCTAAACATGTTCACTGGAGCTGAAAAATAAACTCTTCTCTGGTGATATGTTTGTAAAAAATTACATGAAGTTTAAAATCAAATATTGGGTCGCCAGGAAAATCATGACGTATGTTTGCATAGAAAAATACGTCATGACTTTCCTGATGACACAATAACTTTACGTAACTTCAGAACTAGTGTTCTACCCTAACCGGAGAGGTAAGACTGAGAGAGAAAAAGGAGTGCCTAAAGTTCTCAAAAGATGGTCCAAAAAAAGGGAAAAAATTGACATTTACTGAGATTTGGTAATGCAAGGACAGTTTTATTATACATGCATGAGGTTCAAGTACTTGATTGTAGCTCAAACCTTAATTTTATGTCAAAAGATCTGAGTTTAGACTCTGCTACCTACTAAAGGACCAACCTTAAGAAAGTCTCTTAAACCTCTGAATCTTGGTTTTCACAGCTAAAAAAATATGACTAATGAACCATTCTATGCAATGCTATTACAAGGATTAAAGAGATAATATAAGTGAATCCAATAATATCCATATAAACACAAAATTATCCCAATTATTATTCTTACACTTGCTACTTGGATGATATAAATAAAGAGACAAATATTTCTTAAATGATGGTAAAAGCCAAGCAAGCTCCTGCAAAAGAGATACTTTTTTTTTTTTAATACAGGTATTCCTTATTTTTCCAACCTAAAGCTTTAAAATAAAGAGTAATTATAAGTTCTAGGGTCTGACTTATTTTTTATTCTTTATTCAATCAAAAAAAAAAAGTGGAGATTCTATGTTGATTCTACATTAGAAGTCCTTCAAAACTGACACAACTTTAAACAAAACAATCTCACCCTGGAGGAAAATTTATCCCACTAGGACAAAAAAGATACTGTTTATTTGAATGGTATTTTGAAGCTAAGGACTTAAGAATAACAGAATACAGCAAGAACCCTCATTCTCCACTCCCTTTCTCTTTTCTCTCTCTAGTCACTTAACGTATAGCCCATAGTTTTCTTTGCAATGAAGCCAAGACAAGAATGAAGACTGTATAGATTTTTCCCCACAATTGCTGGAGGTATGGAAGAGCTGTAGCAAAATCTAAATTTTTTTTTCTCAAACGACACAGTGTTCTGCACATCCTTCTCCACTTACCTGTCTCCAACAGCTTCTGATACACCATTTTTTTAACTGCCAGAGGGCATGTCCATTTACCAGAGAAAGATATACAGGGAAAAAGCACCCCCTAGATGGGCATGGTCAGGTTGCAATTCCTTCTCCTACTTCTCTCCATTCTGTACCCACACACATATGCTCAGCACGGTGTTCAGGCCGCAGGGGCATTGAATCACAACCATGTAGCTGGCCAGGTGGGACCTGGTTCCCTTAACCACTAGACTATGGGTGGGCCCCTGATATTCTAATACGCACAGAGAGCATCCGCTCTCCCCACCGCCAAAACACACCTACATTGTTTTCAGGAGGAGCGGTTAAGTCAGACTTCTTAAAAAATGCCCTCATCATTTCTGCATACATCCTCTTCCATTCTCAACTTTCACTCAGATTAGTACCACAGGTTATTTTAAAAAATACACAGCCTAGATCACTATGCGATCTTTTCAGTATGACTCTTAAAAGCAAAAACAGTGTTTTTCACAAAAAATACATGGGCGTCAAAGCAGTATTCTTTTGTTTTTGGCTTTCTCCAAGAAAAAATACGCTTCATGAATTTGTGTGTCATCTTTGTGCAGGGACCATGCTAATCTTCTCGATATTGCTCCAATTTTAGTATTTGTGCTAACAAAGCAAGCACAGCAGTATTCTTTTCTTTAAAAATCAACTATAGTATTTTATATTTGTAAATAGTTTTTCAAATAGTGTGTGAAACTGAGAAACATGTTTTTAAAAAGTATGTAGACAGACAGATAATAGATAATATTGACTAAAATGACAACTGTATTACTACAAAATGATGCCAGTACTAAATATATACAGTTGTTGTATATGGTCCATTCCTCACTGGCATTGGCATCAGAATTTGCCAGAAGGAGGACCAGCAGATGGCAAAATGGTTACATTGCTGAATTCCCATGTAATTGACCACAGTTCAAGTCCCGGACCTGGCGGCTTAAAACACACTGGGCACATGTGCATGCATGCCCAAAATTCTGAGAGGAGAATGGAGGAGAAGGGATTATAGCATGGCCATCCCCTCTGGGGATTTTTAGCGCTCTCTCTCTCTCTCTCTCTCTCTCTCTCTCTCTCTCTCTCTCTCTCTCTCTCTCGCACACATGTACACTCTAGAGCAAAAAATCTCACTAAAAAAAAAAATTCAGAAGGAAGTCAAGGTAGAGATACAAAAATGAAGAGGAAAAAAAAGAGATAATTAGAATAGTATAAATAGCATCTTAAAGTAAATATACTTAAATGCAATAAAAATGTAGTAGTGCCTCTAGTAATCAGTACTAGTGCAGGGGTGGGTGAGAAAAAAGAGGAGCAGATTAATTATTTACCTAACTGTATTGCCAGTTTCCAGTTAACTCAAAGGAGGCTTGCTGGAAAGGGCGGAAGGCATCCTTTGTGATGAACCTTAAAGCCTGGGTAATGCTGAGCTCTGTTAAGTACTTATTACCATAAGTATCAACTAGAAAAGGCCAGTGTGCTGATTGGCCATATCTAAGGAAGAGAGACAAATACAGCTCTGTCTGATCACTACTCTAATAGAAAAAAAATTTTACACTTTACTTTTTTTTTTTTTTTTAAATCAAGTGCATTCCATGAATGACTTGGTTTTGTAAAGGAGGAGTGGAAGTAAATTAGAATTCTCTAAATATTGAGATTCAATTGCCATAATATGCTTAGGGGCATTATCATGGAATTGAGTGCCTGGAGGCAGATGAAGGATTTGACCCGATGCCCTTATCCAGCAGTCCTTCAATTCCAATCTAATGAACACATACTCATAATTATTTCTCAGATAGTTTTTATCTAATTTTAAAGTGGATAATTTATACCACTTGTATAAAAACGCATTAAGTTTCATTAAAATATTCAGCATTAGTAGAACTTTGAGCAGAATATATTTCTTACACTTTCGCAAAGTCATACATATTTATAATATTAAAACTCTTCAGTTGCTTTAATAATAGAATCTCTATCCCATAGATCTGAATACTAATTTTAAAATGCTCCTATAGTAGAAAGCTATGTGCACAGGAAAACGCATTTGCATTTTATACTTTCTAGATTTTGTGCTTATTTCTTCTTTATTACACTCTCTTTTAATTAAACTTTGCTTTTCAGCAGAAAGCTTTTTTTCTCCTTTCTTTTCCTTCTGCTTTTTCTTTTGTCACTTCAAAATACCAACCTTAGAAAGTATTTACACTATTTTCTTAAGAAACTCAGGAGAGAATTGCAACTTTGTCTTCCAATGGGTTCTGCAGGGTTTTGTTGGTGGATTTTGTGTCAGTTCAAGGCTTTGCTTAATGGATGATTCATTTCTGAGAATATAAGCATTTGGGACAATCACATATGACTGAGGAGTTCTAGTCTCTTCTGGCAACTTTGGAAAGAGGTGACAGAATACCAAACTGGGTGATGACATTTTTAACACAAGCTTCCTTCCACAATTCAGTCATCTCAGAGAGCTTTAGGAAATGATTAATTAATACCTGTAATGTAATGCAATAATTCAAATCAAATAGAGCAATGATCCTTCTAGCATCTATCCACATATCTTCAGGATCCATATCAAAGTGGATGATGCAGAAAATTCTCAAAATTAAGCACATGTACATGCACAAGAGCTCCCATCAGCCTGGGAAATAAAAGGATATTTTGGGTTGGTGGGTTTAGAGAGATTTTTGCTATAGGGCTTGTGCACTCACAGGAAGGACAGAGAGAGAGAAGAGAAGTGATCACCCCTCAGGGGAAATGGCCAAGCCACAGATCCTTCTCCTCCACTCTGCTCTTAGGATTTTGAGTATGCACACACACACACACACACACACACGGTGTGAATTTCTAGCTACCAGGTCCAGGACTCAAACCACAGTCAGCCATGTGGGAGTCCAACAAAATAACCATTACACCATCTGCTGGTCCTGATAAAAGGATATCTTATTGAGTGAGTCATATGCGGTGTGACATGGTGGCTACAGCTCTCTCCTTCCTCAAAGTACTATACAATCCAGTGGCCTTGTGAAGTAGTCACATGGTTGATAAAGGTGTATAATAATTTTCATCACATTTTTAAATAGATTCTTCCTCTAGACTTGGATAATGTTGAGGCTGCAAGACCATAGAAGTTAACCACTCCTACCTCTCAAAGTAAAATGCTGAACATCTAGATGGGATTTGCAAAGCAATAGAACAACCTGGTTTTGCAACTGTTGTACCCTGTACAATATTTGTCAATACGTTTGGAGTAAAGTTGCCACTACAAGAGCAGTCGGAGATTAAAGGGAGAATTTTCTCAGGAAAAGTTCTTAAATTGAGAAGATTTTCCATACTCTCGTAGAGTTAAGATGGGATACTTCACTTTTACCACAAACTTAGTGAGAAAGGTATCGAGGAGATGACATAGTGGCCCTGACATGTGGGCCTGACAGTTTAGGAGATATTGTGAACTGGTATCTGGCTCCTGCTTGAGAAATTAAAAGATCAATGGACCATGGCTATATCTGTCTAGTCAGCTACATGAAAAAAGCTGTCAGTTGGACTAAAGTATCTGGTTATCATCTTCCTTAGAATCTGCTCCAGAAAGGGTCCAGGAGTTGGCATAATGGCTATGTCGCTGGACTCTCATGTCGCCCACCATGGTTCAAGTCCCGGACCTTGTGGCTTAAACTCATGCCCAGTGCATGTGCGTGCATGCCCAAAATCCCAAGAGGAGAATGGAGGAGAAGGGATTGCGGTGTGGCCAACCCCCCTGGGGAGTGATTTCTCGCTTTCTATCTCTGTCTCTCTCTGTCTTTCTGGCGAGCACATGCACCCTATAGCAAAAAAACCTCTCCAAAAAAATAAAGAAAGAAAGAAAGAATCTACTCCAGACAGTCACCTATAGCATGAGAAGGCCTCAACCAAAAAAATGTGTGGATGCATAGACTAAATACCTAGACATAGTGAAGGTATGATAACCAACCAACTGGAGTAGAAGCAGTCACTTACTTCTAAGGAATCATGGTAGTAATTTTCCAAATTACCGATGAAGCATTGTGGCTATATCTGTGGGGTCATTTGTAGAAAAGATTAGTATTTTTATCAGTACACCAAGTAAAGAAAATTTGTCCTGACCAATGTTTGCATGCATCACACAATTCATTGAGGGCCTGAATAGGACAAAAGGCAGGAGGATGGCAAATTCTTTCTCTGTTCTTGAGTTGTGATATGCATCTTCTTCTGCCCTAAGACATTAGATATTCTTGTCCTTAGGCCTTCAGACTTCAAGACTTACACCAGAATATCAGCCCTATTTCACCAATTCTCACGCCTTTAGTCTCAGACTGAATTATACTAATAGCTTTCTTGATTTTTTCCAGTTGCAGTCAGCAGGCCATGGAACTTCCCAGCCTTCCCAATTGCATTAGTAAATTCCCATAAAAAATATTCTATGTGGGAACCAGCAGTTAGTGTAATGGCTATGTCACTAGACTCCCACGTAGTCAACCGCGGTTCGCGTCCCGGACCCGGTGGCTTAGAACTCACACAGGGCATGTGTGCGTGCATGCCCAAGATCCCGAGAGGAGAATGGAGGAGAAGGGATTGCAGCGTGACCATCCCCCCTAGGGGGTGATTTCTCACTTTCTGTCTCTATGTCTCTCTCTGTCTGTCTGGCAAGCGCACACGCCCTATAGCAAAAACCTCTCAAAAAATATATTTAAAAAATATATATATTCTACATATCTATCTATTCATCCATTTGGTTCTATTTCTCTGGAGAACCTTGATGAATACAGAGAGAATCTGAAGCACCCATGAAATGGTCCTATGAAAGGAAACACAAGCTTTTACGTGTCTGCCATAATCAAAATAAATTAATACCACATTGAGATTCTTCTGTCCAACAAAGAGTCACCTGAAGCGCACACAGAAGTACTAATCAAGACTCAGAGACCTGAGTCAAGAGGGAGAGAAAGAGGCTATGCCAGGTGTGTACTAAACTTCTCTCATCCTCCATATCTAGTAGGGCAAAAGAAAAAGGAAAGTTAATTTTAGAGAAATTTGCTTTTTAGAGGATTAGATAGATAAGGGTAATTCCCTGGAATAGTACTGTTGGTTTCAGTATTGTTAAGGTGGGTATTGCTAAATGATGCCAGAGACTGGACAAAACACCTTGGAATTTGGAGAACACATTTATCAAATCACACACCCATCTAATGACTTCCTGTTGTTTTAGAGCAGAAAGCATGGCATCAGGCATTTTCCCTATAGTCATTCATTCAGAGTTCATAAATTCAAAGCGTTTTAGAAGCATGGTGTTTCTGCTGTTCCCTAACACCAGATGAGTGCTGGATCAAGAAGGAAACCTTTTCCTGTTTCCTCGGTTCTCTTTCTTCAACAATGAAGATAAGTAGGAGTAAACGAAAGGAGTAAACTCTAGTCTGGGACAGAGAAGACATAATCCATTTTCACTTTTTCTGGTTTCTTGCCTTAACTTGAGAAGCTGAAAGTTTTTGTTTCTGATTTTAGAGAGATTTTTGCTATAGGGTGCATGCACTCTCCAGAGAGACAGAGAGACAGAAAGCGAGAAATAACCTCCTGGGGGGATGACCACACCACAATCCCTTCTCCTCCATTCTCCTCTTGGAATTT